CGGGGGGGAGAAAGAGAGAGAGTGAGTGCGTGCGTGTGTGAGGGTCAGTGTGTGTGTGTGTGTGTGTGAGCGTGTGTGTGTGTGTGTGCGTGAGAGAGAGAGAGAGAGAGGAGACTTAGCAAGCCCCCCCCCCCCCACTCCTCCTCCCCCCCACTCCTCCCGCCGCGCACCTCGCACGGTCCACCCTCGCCTGCTCGGCCCACGGCGCCTTCTCCTCGTCGCTCAGCGCCCGCCACCGCTCCCCGACAATCTTGGCCAGCTCCTTCGCGTCCAAGTACAGGCGGGCGCCGCCGCCGCCGCCGCCGCCGCCGTCGACATCGCCACCGTCGGCGCCTCCGTTGCCTGCGACACCGGCCGCAGCACGCCCCGCCGCGCGGCTCTCGGCATGCGCTTGCTGCACCGCGGACTTGGTCGCGTGGAAGAAGAGGAAGTACGAGGTCTGCGGCGGCTTTGGCGCCCCCTGCAGCCGGGCGGCGCCGCGTCACCGTTCCGAGGGGAATGCTCCGAGGCGGTTCCGAGGCGGTTCCGAGGCGGTTCAGAGAAGGCCCCGAGAGAGGCGTCTCTGTGATAGTCTCGGCAGGGGCGACGCGCGCGTCCCGCCGCGCCTCTTGCCGCTCTTGCCGCTTCCGCTTCTTCTGGCCGTTTTGCTTCTCGCGCGTCGCGTCGCTTCGCGGCCTCGGCTCGAACTTGGGCTCGCGTGGCCTCGCCGCCTCCCGCGCGTACGCCACGGCCGCCTGCAGGAGAGGGTCCGAGACGGGTCGGGGGGGGGGGAGGCTCAGGGGAGGGCTCGCCGCGCGTGCGCCACGGGAGGCCTCGACGGCGGTGGCGAAGACGCCGAGGTGTATGTGGCCCGACTTGCTCACGCCTGCGGGAGACGGCATGGGCGTGTCGTGGGCGTGTCGTGGGCGTGTCGTGGACGTGTCGTGGGCGTGTCGTGGACGTGTCGTGGACGTGTCGTGGGCGTGTCGTGGGCGTGTCGTGGGCGTGTCGTGGACGTGTCGTGGGCGTGTCGTGGGCGTGTCGTGAGAAGAGTGCTGAGAGGCGGGCGAGGTGGCGCCCTCGCCCTCGTTCTGTGGAGCTGCAGCGGCTCTCGGCTGCCTCTCGGCTCTCTCTCGGCTCTCTCTCGGCTCTCTCTCGGAGATCTCGCTCCGTGGAGCTGCAGCTGCGCGCTGAAGGGGCGAGAAGGCAGCGGCCTGCGGGGAGACGACAGCGGACATGTCGCGGGCGCGTCCCGCTGGACAGCCGCGCGAGAGGGGCAGAGGCGAGGGCGGTGGCGGGGTGGGCGGTGGCGGGGTGGGCGGAGCTGGTGAGGGCGGTGGAGGGGGCGAGGGCGGTGGAGGGGGCGAGGGCGGTGGAGGGGGCGAGGGCGGCGGTGGAGGGGGCGAGGGCGGTGGAGGGGGCGAGGGCGGTGGAGGGGGCGAGGGCGGTGGGGAGGGGGCGAGGGCGGTGGAGGGGGCGAGGGCGGTGGTGGGCGAGGGAGGCGGAGGAGTGGGCGGTGGTGGGCGAGGAGGCGGAGGAGTGGGCGGTGGTGGGCGAGGAGGCGGGCAGGCCTGCCGCGGGCGACGCTCAGGCGCACGCCGCGGTAGCCCGTCTCCGACTTTGAGCTCAGGTGCAGCCTCACCCCCTCCGCCTCCTCGAGCAGCGGCTCGGAGAGGAGGGCCCGTCGCGCCTAGCACGGGGGGGGGGGGTGCCTGGGGGGAGGGAAGGGGGGGGGGGGGGCGAGAAGGCGGCGGCGAGGGCGGAGGCGGCGAGGGCGGAGGCGGCGAGGGCGGAGGAGGCGATGACACCTCCTCGTGCGCCGCCGCCGCCGCGTCAGCCTCCGCCTTGGTAGGCGAAGGAGCTGCCACTCGAGACACCTTGGGCTCGAGGAGGGCGCGCGCCTGTTCACCGCCGGAGGCGGTGAAAGAGGCGCCGTTCACGGCCACGCTGACGGCTCGTGGAGAGGGGGGCGCGCGTACGCCACCGCCGCCTCCGCCTTGGTGGCAAAGAGTCCGAGGTGGCGGAAGGTCTTGCCGCGCTCGCCTTCGCTCACCTGCGCCTTGAAGCCGCCGCGGCACGCGACAGCGGTCACGCCCTTGTAGCCCGTCTGCGAGCGCGCGCTGAGGTGCAGCCTGACGCCGCCCGCCTAATCTCGGGTGATCTCGGGTGATCTCGGGTCATCTGCCGTCGAGGTGCAGCCTGGCGCCGCCCGCCTCGGCCACCGCCGGCGCCGCGAGCTCGGCCAGAAAGCGAGAGTCGTCCGCCCCGAGGGAGGCGTCTCCATGCCCCGTACCGCCAGAGGGGTGCCACCCAAGAAGCCCGTCAAGGCCACGGCTGCCCGCGGCGTGGCAGGAGTGGTCGCCGCCAGGGGCGCCTCCGTCGGCGATTGCGTCCGGCGAGCCCGCATCGCCCCCACTACCCCCACCCACCGTCTTCTCGTCATCGTCCGACTCGCCACCGTGGGACGCGCCCACGCCCTGCGCCGCCGCTCGCACCGGCCGAGCGCCCTGAAGGGCGACGCTCGGGCGGGACGAGAGCGGCGTGTCGTCCTCCTCGCTGTCCACGTCCTCCTCGCTGTCGGCCTCGCCGCCGCCACCATTGCCGCCGCCGCAACCCGCGCCGCCCGACACCTCGCCCGCCGCAGCGGGTGAGCCGTCGGAGGCCACGCCGACGAACGCCGGACGGAGCCGGGCGCCGGCCTGCTGCGTCTGCTGCGGAGAGCGTGCCCACCGCTCGACGTGCCGGAGCCACGTGTTCAGCTTCGAGGTGAGCGCCGGCTTGTCCGCTGCGGCGAGCGCGCCGCTGCCGGGAGGCATCCCCTCAAGCTGCCGCGCCGACTGGCGGCAGAGGTGCAGGTTGACGTTGCCTTTGGCGTCGCGGTACGGCAGCAGCCGCGCCTCGCGGAGGAGGAAGCGGGAGGCGGCGAGCCCGGGTAGGTCGATTTCAGCGAGTGGGGTGGCGCTGTAGGACGAGGAGGACATTCGTGAACCGCGAAGCAAAGAAGGGCGGGAGCATTGAAAAAAGAATTTTTATTGGACACTCGCAGAAAGGGCGCGGGACTGGCGCGCACTGGCACTAACACAGGTACACCACGGGAGCCGCCTAAGAATTTAAACAAAAGAACTCTCTCTCACAGAATTTTACAATCCTGCACTCGCACAACACTGGGCACGGGACTGGCGCGCACTGGCACTAACACAGGTACAAAAAGAAAAATGGCTGGACCACTTCCTTTATTAAAACCCGTTTGTTATCTCTGCCGTTCTCCCATTCCTCCCTGGCGCCGGCCGGTTTTTAGTTTCTTTCTTTATAAGTGCTTCAAAAAGGCAGCTCCCACGAGAAGAGACAAGAGTTGACGACAAGCTGCCGTCCTGCGCGAGAGCCCAAATCACTTTGTGTTCTGTGTCTATAAAGACGAGCGGTGATTTCTTGTTGCTTTCCGAAATCTCTCTTTGACTGATCTCTCTCTTCTGTTTGTTGAGTCTCTGATGGGGTCCCGTACCACGCGGAATCGACCCTATATCTCAAGTGCTCAAGTGCTCATAAGTCTCGGTGCGGACATCTCTGATGACTCCGTTTTCGGGGGCGTTGCATTTGCCAAACCTTTCGAGCACAAAAAAGGGCACACGGCGCACACGGCGCACACACACCTCTGGGGTCCCTAGCGCGGCGGTAGCAGCCGCATCAGCGCGGCGACGTGGGCGTCCTCCTCCCCCACCTCGCGCAGCCACGCCGCGAGCGACTCGAGGTAGTCTCGGTTCGCGCCGCTCGGGCCGTGCGCGCTCGCAATGGTTAGCGCGGCGGCAGCCGGGTCGGCCAGCATCACCGGGGAGAAGAGCGGGTTGTCGCACGTCGCAGAGTACACGAGCGCGCGCACCGGCGGCGCGCCCGGCCGTGCAGGCTGCACCTGCACCACCTCGCGCGTGTAGCCGCCCTTCTCCCGAAAGTCGAGGTTGGCCAGCACGCGCGGCACGTCGTCCGCCCCGACGCGGTAGCACAGGCCGCACGTCGTCGATGGCGGCTCGCCCGGCTCGCGCAGGCCCTTGGCCTCCAGCTGGGCGTCGGAGATCATCGTCGCAACGAGGCCGGGGCTGGAGGGCGTGCCGCGGTGGTCGCACGAGCGCTGCGCAAAGTAGCGGCCCCAGCCGGAGCAACGGCCGACGAGCGTCTCCTCATGCGGGAAGTCGGGCCGCCAGCAGAGCGAGCCGTAGCCAAAGATCCAGAGCGGGTCCGGCACCTCGACCCCGCCGGCTGCACGGTTCCCGAGCCACACGCCGGCAGCCGCGTCCCACCGAGGCGCCGCAGCAGGCGCCTCGGCAGACGGCTGCACGAAGCTATAAAGCCAGGCGGCGAAGCGAGCGAGCATCGTAGCCCAGGCACGATCGATGCTTCTTGCCGCGCCGCGTGAGAACCAGCAGGGTGCAGTATTTACCTGTGTTAGTGCCAGTGCGAGCCAGTCCGTGCCCCGCATACGACGGAGCTGAATTCTAAAATTCTTTTATACGGTCCCGTCTTGCTTTTTCTGCGGCAAAGTCAAACCACCCCACCACCCTAGGTGTTGAATACAAATATATGAATTCACAGAGAGGTCTCCCAGGAGCCTGAATACTGTATTCAAAAAGGCGCGCAGCGCGCCGGAACACATACGGAATACATGCGGCGCGCGCGGAGCGCCGCTAGCTAGTTGTGCAGGCGCGGAGCGCGCGGAAGCGCGCGGAAGCGCGCGGAAGCGCGCAGCGAGCGCGCGGCGCGGAGAGCGCGCGGAGCGCGCTAGCGCGCGCGGAGCGCGGGCAGACCATCAGGTCCTCCTCGTTGTTTGTCCGAGTTGTTCTCGTCCGAAGTCGCTCTCCCACTTGACCGCCGGCTCCTTGTAGCCCGCCTTGGTGCGCTTGATGCGGAGCTGGAGCGCCTCGTGGCAATAGACGAGGCGGTCGGAGACGGAGTGGCGCATGCGATTGCGGCGGTCGGTCTTAATGGAGCCGTAGATCGACCAGTTGCGCTCCGCTGCCGACGCGCAGACTGGCTGCGAGAGCACCGTGCACGCGAGAGGGCCGGGAGGTTCTTGCCGTACATATGCTCCACCACTGCGCCGGCGGGAGCGTCTTGGCCTGGTCCTTCACGAATGGCCTCGAGAGAACGCCCGCGCTGTCCTGGTAGGACGCGAGCTCGACGCAGGCCTCGCCCGCCAGCCTCTGCACCCCCGGATCGTCGACGGTGAGCGCGCGCGCGAGCATCGGGCCGGAGAGGGAGTCGGGGTTCGAGGTGAGGCGGGAGTACTCGTAGCGCATCGCCATCTTCTCGATGATCGAGATGAGCGCCTCCTGGACGTCGCCGCTCATGTCGTGCGCGAGGTACTCGGGGTCGAGCGCGTAGCCCGCGAGGTGCATCGGCGACTTGAGGTACTCCCAGCGCGCGTCGTGGATCTTGAGCGCCCCCTCCTTCCATGGGACGGTGGAGTTGGCGATCACCCCCCGAATGCTGTTCATCCGCGGCATCACCTTGCCCATGGCGGGGGCGGCGCCATCGCAGAGGCGGAGGAGCTTCACGACCGGCGTCGCAATCTTGAGCACCTCCACGAGCGGCGCCCAGAAGCCGCTCTCGTTGAGGATGATGGCCTTGACAGGGTGATCGCGGCCGGAGATGGTGCCGGAGGCGGTGTCGTCGTCGTTGCCCTTCTTGAACTTCTGCTCACCAAACTCGGAGGAGACGACGACCTGCTGGAGGTCGGCCTTGACGCGCAGCATCCGCCCGAGCGCACGCATGTTGCCGGCGAAGCGGGTCGCCTTGGGGCGGTAGAGGCCGAACTCCTTTTTGTGGTTGACGGCGATGACCTCGCGCAGCTTGGTCCGCGGCCAGCGCTTCTTGCCCCAGAAGAGGTTCAGGATGGCGTTGGACTTCTTGTTAGATTCTTGATGACCGCCGCGACCTCTTCGATCTTGCCGAGGTCCTTGAGGTAGAGGTTGAGCACGTGCGGGCCACAGCACGTGCACGTAATCCACGGGAACTTGGTCTCCACGAGCTTCCACGCAGCCTTCATGACGGAGCACGTGTCCGTCACGACCTGCACGACCATGGGGGGGCCGATGCGCGTGATCTGCTCGATGAGCAGCTTGGCGACCGCCTACCAGGAGAGCAATCACCGTCAGGGGGGGAGGGGGGGACTGGGGCAACACCGGGGGTGGCGGGATCGCCTCGGCGTTCTCAGAGTCAGCGCTCGTGAGTTGGTAGGTGGCCGGTCAAAGAAGGTCGTGGTCGCGGAGCCGATGAGGACGTTGATGAGATGCGACGAGTTCACGTCGTCCCATCCATCAGATATGATGCTTCCGCCGTACTTGAGCACCTCGCCGCGGACCGGCCGCTCCTCGGCCTTGAGCGTGTCGGTGGTCTTCTCGAGGAGGTCACCAAGCATCCGCTGGCGCGTCGGCGGCTGGTAGGAGGCGGGGGCGGTCTTGAGCGCCTCGACGAGGTCCTTGAAGAGCGGGTGCGACACCTTGCTCGCCCCGACGTTGAGGCCGTAGAAGAACTCTCCGATCGCCTTGTCGCACGCCTCCGACTTGCCGGAGTACATCGAGGACTGGATGCTCTTCTGCCCAAGCTTGGCCTTGGCCTTCGCCTCGCCCGCGGCGACAGAGTCGGCAACCTCGTCGTGCGCGCGCTTGGCCGCCAGCGTCTTGCCCTTCTCGCCCTTCGCGCCCAGAAGCGACTCCTTGAGCGCGAGGAACTCCGGGGAGTCGTCGGTGCACTTGTCACAGAGGTGCTCCTTGATGCGCGTGGCGCCGCCGCAGAACATTCCGCCGTGTTGTTGGGTAGCTAATCACACGACATTTTCTGAGAGAGAGATTTTGTCCCGAGCTGCACGAGCATGATCTGTCTGAGAGAGAGATTTTTATTAACCAACAAGAAATCACGACTCTCACAGTGATTTGGGCTCGGCAGCCTTCTGTCTGTGACGGTCACGGACGGAGGGGGGGCTGGGCAGGGTTCATTCACCCACACGACAGGGTCAGTCTCTCACTACCACGGGCACACTGACAGGCGAGCCCAAGCATTTTTCTTTTGTACAAGGCGCTGTCCGCGCGCCGCGCCCAAGGACTTCTCAACGAAGACCAAAATGCGGCGCGGTCTGTCTATCGCTGCCCCCGGGGCGAAAGCAAGGACGAAGCTTGCGGAGAAGCTGGCGGCGTCCGAAGCATCGGCGGCGGATCTGGCCCAGCAAGCGGACGATGCAAAGATACGGGCGGAGCAGCAGGCGGCAGCCGCGGAGGCGGCGTCGGCCGAGCTGGCAGAGACGGCGAAGAAGCTGGTGGCGTCCGAGGCATTGGCGGCGGATCTGGCCAAGCAAGTGGACGACGCGAAGCGGGACAAGGCCGCGGCTGCAGAGGCGGCGGCCGAGGCGGCAGCAGCGGCGGCGGAGACGGCGAAGAAACTGGCGGCGCCCGAGGCAGCGCCGGCGGATCTGGAAGCGAAGCAGCTCATCGACACCGATCTCGAAGCAGGCACTGTCGGACGCTCGATTGGACTGCCCAAGTTCAAGAAGGTGCGAGCGGCAAGCGACGGCGGCGGGCCGTACCAGCAGCTGATCGATGGCGAAGGCGATAGCCGGTACCTGCCTCGCATGACCAAGGGATTTTTTGCGGCAGTGCTAACGACAAACACTTGCTGCACAGCCTTTCTGTGCATTATCCTTGTTGTGCTGTACCAGCACTCGTACGCAAGCGGTGTCGGTGAGGTGCAGCCGCGCCCCCCGCCTCCCCCGATCAGCAGCTACGACTACGACTACGACGTAGCCCCACCTCCCCCAACCAGCAGCTGCGCGATTTACCATGCCGGTGCGGCCGTCTTCGAGGGCGCCATGCACACGATGACGGCCGATGGGCTCACGGAGGTGGAAACTGAAGAGGGCGAGATCGTAACAAAGGAACGCACCGGTTTCAGCAACACCTTCGCCCCCACCTTCTTCGACTTCGAGTGCCTGCTTGCCAACGGCACGGGCGATCCGTGCGACGCGTACGTGGCCGAGGCCTTCGCAGACCAAATGTTCGTTCCTCTGCGCACCGACTCGCTGGTGGGGCTCTGGCTCTCCACGATCTTCCTCTACTCGCTGGCTCAGATTGGTGGCATCCCGCGGCCACGGTTCGTTGACCGCAGGATCGACTGGCCTGGGACCGTCTTCTGGCTCTCTTGGATGCTGACACAGCTGTGCCAGTTCCTCGTGGTCGGGCTTTCCCTTGCTATGCAGGTTGTCGCCTTCTTCGGCGTGCACGAGCGCACCGGGCCGTGCATGGTCAGGGTCGACAACTTTACGCTGCTGGACGAGTACGCGACGGTCACGTTTGCGGCGCAGCCAGCGCTTCTTAGCAAGCTGCTGCTTCTGGTCGTGTACGGGTACCTGCTGTCGCTCGGCGCGCTCGTGTTCATTGGGCGCAAGGTGAACGAGGTTGAGTTTAAGGAAGAGGCTAGCAAGACCAACACCAGCCTCGTGCAGCCGATCCCGCTTGCGAGCGTGCTCTACTTCATCTCTCGGTGGGCGCTGTACGGCATCTGCCTGGGGACCGTCGGCGGGTGGCTTGGCTGGCCGGGCGCCTCGTGGGCGGCCGCGCTGGTTGCGGCAGCTGTGGGCTCGCTCACGGGAGGATTCAGGCGAGGTAAAGACTCGCTGTCTCGCGCAACAGTCGCCAAGTGCGCCCTTGGCGTTCTCCTCGCCCTGCCGATCCTGCCGAATCTTGTCTACCTACCATTGGGCGGGCTGTTCCTTGCGTTTGTCAAGCTAAGCTTTGCCGCCGGGCGGACGTCACTCGATCTTATTGAGTCAACAGCTACGTCGGAGTGGCGTTGCTGCCAACGGCTCGAGGCACTGACCAAGGCCGCGGCCGCTGCCACCAAGCCGGCCATCAGCTGGCTCGCCCCGCTCGGAAGCCTCGAGCTGTCGAGCGGCATGTCAATGGTGGTGCAGGGGCTGGCGTACACCGAGACGAGCCTCTCAACGCTGGCGGGCGGACTGGCTTGCGTGCTGGGCTGCCTCGCGCTCTCCCCACTGGTTGCGTACGGCACGTGGGCGGCGGAACAAGGACGGCTCGAGCCCGATTACGACGTCGAGGACAGCGTGGTGGAGGCGGTGCAGGCACGGCTCTGGATGCTGTGGGTCCTCGTGGCCATGCCCGTGCTGCTGTTTGCTGTGGAGTTTTGTATGAATGGCAAGCTCCTCGTCCAAAGATGCGAGGAAGGCGGTATCTACCTCTCGCTCACAAGCTCACCAGTCCTGAACGTGCTCCTCACCGTCTATGCCATCCCGTTCCTCCTCGCGCTCGTCTTCGCCATCTTCTTCACCTCGCAGGACGACTCGTACATCGAGCGCGTCATCTGGCACGCACAGGTTGTATACGGCGACTCCTTTGCGTTCCTCGCCACGCTGCAGCTCGACGTGTCGGGTCTCCAGCCCTTTCTCGACAGCGTGATGGCGGACATGGTCGCGTTCACGGGCGATCCTTTGGGGGCAGCGCAAAAGGTCGCCGATCGTCTGGCCGAGATCGTAGCGGACCCGCTGGCGCCCGTGAGGGAGGTGGTCGAGGTGGTTGCCAACATGTCGCGCTATCTGGAGATCGACCCGTCCTACTTTGTTGAACACTCGGCGGCGCTCGACGTTCTGAATGTATCTCTGGGGCTGCTCAAGCTGCTAGCCACCTACGGACGCAAGGCGTTTGCGCTCTACGATGCGGTGCTGAGGCTATTTCGCGGAGAGAAGGGGGAGGGAAACGAGGAGGACGACGGGGTGGTGCAGGTGCACGAGTGCGTGGCGGATCCGAAGAAGGCGCAGCTCGAAGCCGACATGGAGCTGCTCTGCCAACGAGGTGTTTACTCGGAGGATAAGACTTCGTGGAACTTGAAGAGCGCGCAGCTTGCTGCTGGGGATGTGGCGACAATTGCTCTCTGGCTGAAGGACAATGGGGTGCTGACCGAGCTCGACCTCCGCTTCAACGGCATCGGCGACGAGGGCGCCGTCGCCCTCGGCGAGGCGCTGCGCGTCAACGAGGTATTGACCTCCTTGGATGTGGGCTTAAACCACCTCACCGAGGAGGCGGCCCTCGGCATCGTCCGCGTCGAGCGGCAGCGCAACAAGCTCACCTTGCTGGGCTTGGCTAGCTGCCGCATCGGCCCGACTGGCGCCGCAGAGATCGCCGAGTACGTGTCGGGCAGCAAGGTATTGACCAACCTCGAGCTCGGCTGGAACGGCTTCGGCGACGAGGGTGTTGAGGCGCTGGCCTCCGCTCTGCGCGTCAATGGGGTGCTGACGTCCTTGGACGTGGGCGTCAACAATATCGGGCCAACCGGCGCGACCGCGATCGCCGAGGCGCTGCGCGTCAACGGGGTGTTGAACACCATCAACCTCGCCCGCAACGACATCAGCGCCGAGGGCGCCGTCGCGATCGCCGCCGCCCTTCGCGTCAACGCGGTGCTGACCTCCTTGAATCTGGGCTTCAACGACCTCACCGAGGAGGCGGCCCTCGGCATCGTGCGCGTCGAGCGGCAGCGCAACAAGCTCACCTCGCTGGGCTTGGATGGCTGCAACATCGGCCCGACTGGCGCCGCGGAGGTCGCCGAGTACGTGTCGGGCAGCGGGGTGCTGACCACCCTCAATCTCCGCGGCAACGGCTTCGGCGACGAGGGTGCCAAGGCGCTAGCATCCGCTCTGCGCGTCAACGGGGTGCTGAAAAACATCGACCTCTGCAACAACAGTTTTGGCGACGAGGGGAAGGGAGTGATTCGAGATGCCGTGAGCGGGCGGGAAGGGTTCAAGCTCGAGATGTGAGTGGGGAAATCGGACAGTCTTGTACGTGGTAGATCTTTGACAAGGACTAGCCGCTCACGATCTGGTACCGCATCGATGAGTTCCAGCTCATCTCCCTCAAGATCATCGCCGAGGCGCCGCACGGGCCACGGCCGGCCGCTCCGCAGTCCTCTCTATCTCCCGACCGCCCCCACTTGAACCACAGGCGGTGCTCCTCTGCTCGCCCATCTATCTGAACCAGACCTCCCTCCCGCTCTGCGTGTTGGGCGAGCTCGAGAGCCAGTCGCTCGCCTTCTCCGAACAGACCACGGCTCCCTGAGAACGCACACAACGCCTCGGAGCACCCAGCTCTTGGGGGCAGCACACCGCTCGTGGAGGAGTCTACACCAAGGCGCTCCCTTTGGAGAGGGGAGGCCCGCTCTCCTCACCGTCTGCCGGCCGCTCTGCTTCCCGTCCGAGCGGTGTCGGCGGTACCACACGGCGCGCCCGGCCCGTCGCCTCCGCCTCCTCGAGCTCGATCATCAAGTGTGGTACACATCTGTGTCTGTCTCGGCTCTCGCTATATCGTATCACACACTCCAGCGTGCGCCGGGGCCCGCGCGCCGCCGCCGGCGGACACCGCGCAGGCTGCCCTCAGGCGCTCTCACCTCTCAGCCCTAAACATTCACTCTTTACTTACATAAATAAAAACGGACACCTCTCTCTGTCAGCCGTCACTGCAGTGTATTGATATCTTATTTCTACAATTGTATTTTTGTGCATTGTGGGCTGAGTGAACAACAGATGAGATCTTGAGTGTTGAGAGATGGGTTTGGGCGCCGCTTGACGGCCGGGGCGCGGGGCACGCGCCCACGCTGGTGCCTCGCACACACCCGTTAGCGACACCGATATAGCATGGGGGGGTCCCACTCCCAGTTTCTGTGCGCGCCCCTGGCGTAAATACCTCAACGGACACACAACACACAACTGTCACGACTCCTGGCCCAAAGCCAGGAGGCCGTCCTCGTCGTCCCCGAACGAGACACCGCTCGGCAGCCGCCGCACCTGGCCAACGGGCGGCGGGTGGTGCGGCTCGGCGGCGCCTCCAGCGGAGCAGCTCTGCGCGTCGTTGTCCACGTCGATCGCCGCGGCGCGCAGTTGGGCGTCGCGCTCCTGCAGAGCGGACGGGCACAAGCGAGTAAGGCTGGAAGGCAGCCGAGAGGAAGGCGCCGAGAGGTCGCCGAGAGGTCGCCGACAAGTAGCCGAGTGGTGCCCGAGATATGACCGAGAGGATGCCGAGAGGTCGCCGAGGTGCAGCAAAGTGGAGAGCTGGCGCGCGCCTCGCGGCTGCGGCTGCCGCCGAACTGGACATCGCCGCCCCCGCCGCCCGCCGCCGCGCCCTCGGCGAGGCCCTGGTCTGCCGGGCCGGCGCCGCTGCGGGCGGGCTCAGAGGGGCGGCTCACCTTTGCCGGCTGCCCCTCCACCTTCACCACCACGCCGTTGAAGTCGCCGCCGCCGCTCTCCCGCTCGCGCCTCCGCTTGACGGAGTCGATCAGCTCGCGCGCCTGTGACATGATAGCAGCGGCGTGAGAGTCTGAGTTTCGGGCTAGATCTGAGGTAGATCTCGGCTGGATCTCGCGCGCCCGGCCGAGGGCCTCGGAGGAGCCAGGCGTGAGACCACCACCTCCTCCGCCTCCTGGGCCTTGCGCTGGTCGCGGCATCTGCTGTCCGCGGTGCGGCATCTGCATCGGCCCTCCTCCGCTCTGCATGCCTCCTCCTTGCATGCCCCCGCCCCGCATCTGCTGCATCATCAGCATCTGCTGCTGCATCATCTGCTGCTGCTGCATCATCTGCTGCTGCAGCATGGCTTGCTGCTGGAACCAGGCCTGCTTCGGCGTGTTGCACTTGAAGCAGCTGTGCCGCGAGGCGAAGACGTTGGCGCTGCAGTTCGGGCACACCCAGTCGCCCGGCCGGTGCCCGTGGCCGCCGTTGTTGTCGTTGGGCATGCCCCCGCCACCGCCAAAGCCCATCCCCCCCATGGGCACCCCGCCCATGGGCATCCCGCCCATGGGCATCCCGCCCATGGGCATCCCGCCCATGGGCATCCCCCCCATCCCTCCAAAGCCGCCGCCGCCGCCCATCCCGCCGCACATGCCGAAGCCGCACCCCATCCCGCCGCCGCAGAACCCGGCCGCACCCATGCCGCCACCGCCGCCCATGCCGCCACCGCCGCAGCTTCCCATCGCTGCGCCCGCTGCTGCGGCGGTGGCGGCGCCCGCACTGGCGGTGGTGGCGGCGGAGGGAGAGGAGACGGCGGCTGGTGGCGCACCCGCCGTCGCCGGCTCGAGCGGCCCCCAATCGTCGTCTGGCGCCGCCGCTGCTGCCGACTCGCTCTTGACGACGCCAGAGGCGGCGGCGCCCGCCTCCGGGACGAACGTCTCTGCGGCGTTCGCCGCCGGCTCGGCGGCCGCGTCCGCCTTTGCGTGCTTGACGTCCTCGTAGAGCGCGCGCAGCATCTCGCGCGCGTGCTTGTTTGGCACGACCTCGTCCACGCGCACGCCCGTGGTCGCGCAGAGCACGCAGCGCGTCCCTCCCGACGCGGGGTCCTCCACCAGCGCCTGCGTGAGCGCGCTGCCCGAGACGGAGGCGCCGCAGCAGGGCAGCACGACCTGCGGGGCGGCGTGGACGTGTCCAGGAGGTGTGATGCGGGTGCCGCGGAGGTGTGTGGTGGCGCAGGTGTGTGGTGGTGTGTGGTGGCGCAGGTGTGTGGTGGCGCATGCACCGGGTCCTCGAAGAGCCGCTTGGTGATCGGGCACTTGAGCTCTTCCGGCACGTGCTCCGCGTCTACCTTCTCGAGGCTCTTTGCCGTCACGCGCGAGAACTTCTTCTCGTCGGCAACCTGTTGCGGGGATGGCCGTTGCTCACCCATGATGGTCGCTATGGTCGCCATGGGCAGGGGCACCCTCTCTCCCCCT